TATGCAAAATGATGGATACGTTCCATTTATTAAAATGGAAAATATATATATAGTTATTATGAAATATCACCGCATTTTTCGCATTGTTGAGTTTGTAACTAAGTTTTTCAATTTTTCGAACATATATTTTATCGATATTATTCAATTTATTCAAATTAATAATAAAATTTTTAATTATTTTAGACTGCATTTTTATATATACATTTACATAATTGCTTTTTTCGGGAGTTTGTGATATTGTTATATGTAGTTCATCTGGTTTTTTTAGTATTTATAGTATTTTATAGTATTTTTAGCAATATATATATATGTATACATATATGTATGTATAAATATATATGTATATGTATATATATATATATATATATATGTGTGTGTGTGTGTGTGTGTGTTTGTTTGTGTGTGTGTGTGTGTGTGTGTGCGTGTGTGTGTGTATGTGTCAGGGTTTTACCTGCGACCGGTTTATGATTGCGCTGTTAAATTATATTGACCAATGGTAATTAAGCAAGTAAGTGTGACGAACAATCCAAGTTGGGCACAGAAGAGTAGACAAGCTCGGGAAGAAAGGGAGAGAAAAAAAATATTTCTGTTAGTGTGATGTTACAAAAGCTGGTCAGTTTTCTTTAACATATCTCGAGCATGTTGGTTGTAGTTTTGGTAGTAATTAATTACGTTAAGTTGGTGTAAACATCCGTAAGATTTGATAGGTGAAATTTACGTCAATGGTAGTAGTGTGGAGCGGTTGTAGCATTAACTTTGGTCGTAATAATTGTAAACGTTAGGCAGAAAAGAACGCTGTCGGTTCCAAGTCTGCAGATGTGCACTCAACAAACAGTACTGTCAACAAACAGTAGATTCAACAACATTCACGCACACCCCACACACTTTCAACAGCCTGTCAAACCTGTTCAGTCAGGTCCCAGTCGACAGCAGTAGACCCAGTAACAATTCAACCAAATTACGACCGTCCTTGCCGCTGAACGTCTGAAAACAACGTCTCACCCGGTGGCAGCCCTCGCAGTAACGACTACATGAAGCAAACTTTCACTCACACTCGTAGAAGCATTTAAATTTTTTTGTTGTTGAACCTATTGTGAACCTTTACATATATCATTATTATTATTATCAAAAATTTATCTAACGATAGTTAATAAAATTCAAAAGCGCCCATAAGCATTAGATCACTATAACATTAAGCATGGCCCACATAAGAATAAGAATTTGTCAATAGCCAGTAAAGGCAAAAAAATAAATGAATAAAAAAAAGAATCAAACATGATAACATAAATCATTACATCGGAAGATAACAATTGAAAAACTGACAAGAATGTTAATTTAAACTAAACAAGATAAAAAAATTAACCAAACAATATAAATAAAAAAAGGAAAAATATTCACACATTACCTTATTTATGTACACAAGCGATAATAGATTTTAATTTTGGCGTGTAAATTTATTGTAAAATTCTATTCAAAATACTAATTTTTCGTTTTAAAGTTGACTATACTGTTTGCTCTAATTTCGTGATTACAATAATATATAAATTTGTAGTTAAAATATCTAAATTATTTAATAATTTAGTTATTTTTAGTTTAATTGGCACGTGGTTTTGATCAGCTGAATTTTCACGTTCAGATCGATTTTTTTTCAAATTTTGTTCTCGATTTCTGACATGAATCTCGACTTTTTGAGAAAAGAGAACCGACCGAAGATGGGCAGTAGAGAAGATGAACCGGCCAAAAGATTGCACGAATGGTGCGGAAAGATGTCTCAACTGCTATCTTCACTAACCGACCGAGTAAAACATTTGGAGGCAAAAGATGAGAAGAATTTATTAGAAATCAAAAGATAGAAGTCGAACCTCAAATCGGCAAAATGGTTGCAAAACCTTCTATAAGTACTGAATGGATTAATGTGGTCACCAGAGGTGCAAAAAGTGTAAAAAAAGCCTGTAGATCATTTAAGAAATGCAGGAGAGAGAAAAAAGGAAAAAAAAGTTGTTATCTACGGAGTACCAGAATCATCTGCTTCAAATCTGACAGATAATAAAGAACATGACGAAACCAAAATTAGAAAAATTTTTAAGGCTATAGATAAATCTGACGTTTCAGTTGCATACTCAAGAAGATTGTGATCAAAAGACTGAACAAAACCTGGGCCATTATTGGTTGATTTGTCCGATGCTGCTATCAGGAATCTCGTCCTCTTGGCAACTAAAAAAATTAAGAAAATTTGACAAATTCAAATCTGTTTACATTAGTCCATATTTGACAGAAGCTGAAAGACAACTGGACTACATATTGAGACAGAAACGAAACAGATTGAATGCAAAACTTGGTGCAGACTCGCCTATTCAATGTGGCATCCGTGGAAATCAGGTGCAGAGATTCAGGAAATTTCGTTAATTTAAATTCAACTCATGATAGAGCAGGTTTTCTAAACAGACACAACACCCTACATTGTATGTATTTAAATGCTACTTCTTTAGATAATAAACTGAATGAATTCAGAGTTGTTGTTCTGACGTATAATCCATCGGTTATTGGTGTTAAGTGAAACATGGTTTACAGATATCTCAATCGTTAATATAAACAACTTTGATGTATAAGAAAAGATAAAAATGATGGTGACGGAGTGTGTCTGGTTATCAATTCATCTGTCAATTTTTATGAAGTCAATGATGCTGTTTTCAACAGAAGCAAAATTGAACAAGTATGGGCAGTTATCTGTCTTTATCATGATAAATATTTGGTAGAGTGTATCTATAGACCAGATTATTTTGTGGATGTGATTGATCTTTAGCTTGTTTTCAAACAAGATAAGTATTATGTTGACAATAAGTGTTTAAAAGATGTTTTGATAATGGGAGATTTTAATTTCCAATCAATAGGATAGTAAAATGGGTCAACCACAACAATTAAAAATGTCAGTGGCATTGAACAAAAATTTACCAACATAATTAACGACACGTTCCTCTATCAACATGTTAACGTACCAACATTTAAAAAATCCAATGGTGTAACAGAGAACATTTTGGATTTTATTTTTACAACGGAACCAGGAAATGTATGTTCCGTATGTCCAGCAGATCCAGTTTTTGCTCTCGGTAATATAACTCAGGATCATCTCATTTTGTCTTTTGATTTTGTTGTAGAAAATGTCTGCCCAGTTCAATATAGTTCAAGTCAATATAGAAATTTTTACATAATAAAGGAAATTGTAGGGAAATATCTCAAGTGATATCTAATGTAGATTGGACTAAATTATTTGAAAACATAACTGTACAACAAATGTATGACGAATTTCTTTATTACATAAATGAAGTAATCAATATTTTTGTACCCATAGTCGATGCAGCAAAACGTCGTAATAAAACAGCTTCATGGATCAACTCACATTTACAATCACTTATCAGAAAAAAAAAATGTCTAAAACATAAAAATAACATTCGTAAATGGAAGAATAAAAATCTAGGTGAGGAATATAAAGATTTCTGCAAGTATTTAAAATTTGAAATCGACAAAGCACGTCTTCTTTATGAGCAAACATTATTCAACGAGCTATGGATAATCCCAAAATTCTTTACAAATATCTTAATAATCAACAAACAGTGAAAGAGTCAATTAAGTCTTTAAGGAAACCAAATGGCAAACTAAATCACGACTCAGTTGAAATTGTGACTTTAATAAATGCCAGTTTTTAAGATGTGTTTGTACTAGAAGACGATAATAAAATTTCGCCTTTTTATGTAAATGAAAGTAATTTTGAACAATTTATAGATATGATGCCAGATGATATCAGTTATGAAATTGTTTTAGATAATCTTAAACAATTCGATGAAAACAAACCTTGTGGTGTTGAAACTACATCCAGTATTGTTAAAAAAGTGTGCAGAGGCGTTTGTTGTTCCAATTGCTTTGATATTCCAGGCCTCTTTGGCTACCAGTCAATTTCCACTTTAGTTCAGATTGGAAAAAGTTTCACCGATCTACAAAAAAGGCGATAAAACTGTAGCAACTAATTATCGCCCGGTTTCTTTAAAATCAACTTCGTGTAAAATAATGAAAAGTATAATTCGAAAGAGTGTAAAAGATCATCTTTTAAGGAATAACATAATAGTAAAACAACAACATGGTTTTGTTAAGGGTAAATTATGTGCAACAAATCTACTTGAAACTCTTGGTTTAGTTTTCTACAACTTGGATAATTTTATTCCAGTGGATGTAGTCCTGCTTGATTTGGCCAAGGCATTGGATACTGTTCTACACAGAAGATTATTAGCTAAATTAAATGTTTATGGAATAAATGGTTTGATGTATAAACGGATTGAATCGTTTTTTAAAAGCAGAAGACAAAGAATTGTTCAAGGTGAAACTATTTCTGATTGGGCTGAAATTTTTAGTGGTGTTCCTCAGGGCATTGTTATTACTTTTCATTCTTTACATCAATGACTTACCAACAAATCTGAAAAATACAACAAAACTGTTTGCAAATGATAACAAAATCATGAGAGCAATATCGTCAGATGACGATGTAGTCGAACTTCAAGCTGATTTTATGAGGCATTTAAGTGGGCGCAAGACTGGCTTCTATGGTTCAATATTGAAAAATGTACTGTATGCACTACGGATCCGGTAATAAAAAATGTCCACTGTATATAAATGGAATATTCCTTGCTGAATCTGAATTCAAGAGAGATCTTGGAGTGATTTTTTTCAAATAACTTAAAATGGAAAATTCAAGTCATCACAGCATCAAACAAAGCAAACCAAATGCTTGGTCGAATAAAAAATCTTTTGGAATATTTGATTATAAGTTGCTTTGTAAATTATACCTAACTTTTATTCGTCTACTCTTGGAGTTTGCAATATCAGTTTGGTCCCCAGATCTAAATGGTGATAGCGAGGTGATCGAAAGAGTCCAGCACAAAGCAACTAAGTTAGTTCCATCATACTACATTAAACTATTTCTTTACAATGTGAACAAAAACGTTTTTATGTTTTTTTTAAAAATCCATAGTCAACTTTGGCAATCCATTCCAGACAGTTGATCCAGCAAACACAAAGCTACTTGCACCGGCACACTGATTTGTAACCGGGACTGTCAACTTATTCAAATCGAACGACCTCAGGTGCGCACCCGTCTGACGCCGTAAATTCTTTTTTATTCTGTCCTGCAGATACATTGGAGCATTACCATTAAGCGTTTTATAAATCAAAACTGCAATCTTGTACACTATTCTTTTATCGACGGTCAGCCAATGCAACCCTTTTAGTATAGGCGTCACCTGATCATTCTACAAACCACCAACAACAACCTTTGCCGCACAATTCTGTATTGATTGTATCAATGGATTTGTCAGGCAAACCATAGAGTAAACTACTGCAGTAGTCAATCCTCGAATGGACAAAGGCATGCACCAGAGTGTGAAGTGTTGAAACGTTTAACGATCCACGATATTGATTAATTCTTCCGATCTGATACATGCACTCTCTTGACAACATCCTGATATGGTACTTAAATCTTAGATTTGAATCAAACACAACACCCAAGTTGGTTAAATTTTTACAAAACAAAAATCTTTCACTGTTCACTGTAATTGAGAGTTCACTTACAATTCTGCCAATTGCTGCCATGTTCCCACCAGTAAAAGTTTATTTTTTTTTATTCAGTTTTAAACCATTCTGCGACATCCATAAATCGACAGCCGTCAAACATTCCACAAATTTATTTATCTCCATTCGAAACGAATCAGTTGTAGTGTAACTATTAACTATTATCAGAATATCTAAATATCATCGGCAAAAGCGTGGTATGAGAACCCAAATGATTCGATAACATTGAATATCTCTGACATATATATATATTTATGTATATATATATATATATGTGTGTGTGTGTGTGTTTGTTTGTGTTTGTTTGTGTGTGTTTGTTTGTGTGTGTTGTGTGTGTGTGTGTGTGTGTGTGTGTGTGTGTGTGTGTGTGTGTGTGTGTGTGTGTGTGTGTGTGTGTGTGTGTGTGTGTGTGTATGTGTGTGGTGAGTTGACTGGCATCCAGAAGTACGTGTGTATTGGGGTAGAGTAAGAATTTTTTTACCTGCTACTACATAAGATGCATAATTGTGAACACCTTTTTTTTAATTATTATTATTCTTTAAAAATCAGGATCTGACAGACGCAGAAACTGTAACAACATGCAAGGCAGTGAAACAAAATTAAACAAATAAGTGAGAAAATAAATACAAAAAGTGAGGAAGAGAAATGATAAAACATGAAAATAAAATATGTTAGAATAAAATAAATAATAATAATAAGACAAATAAAAAAAAAGTAATTGACGATGGAATATAAAATGAAGTAACGGCAAATTGATAGACTAGATGATGACTTAGTGAGGTGATCGATAAATAAAGGCTAGGCCTGTGCTGTGTGTGAAAAAGTTTAATGAGTATTAATATATTTGATGACTTATTAATAGACTAAATGATGACTTAGTGAGTTAGTGAGGTGATCGATAATGATCAATGAGTAAAAACTAGTTCAGTAATGATGAAGTTTTCTTAAGTGCTAATATGTTTGTGGTGTCTTGTGATGAAGGTCTTTTCCTGGTATGTAAATTGGGCGACGACTTGATATTTATGTTTGCGCTGACGAAGGTTGTGTTGTAGTTTTGATTGGTGGTAGTAGAGGATGTATGACGTGGTTGTTGTTATTTTCTATTTTCTTGAACAGCCTTGAATCGAATGTGTTGAATATCTGGGTGACGGTAGGATATGATAAAGGTAGGTAGTTGAAGCAAATTAGTTTTTTGATGAGAGATTGTAGCTGCTGAAGTTGTTGTTGCGTGGCAAAACCAGACCAGGAGGGAGCTGCATATTTGATGCGTGAGATGATGAGTGATTCGGTGATGTCGAATAATTTGACGCCTCTGAGACCATGTGAACGGAGTGTTTTGAGTGCGTGAAATGTTTGAAAGCTTTTTGTGATGATGTAATTGATATGAGGTGCTATATTGAGTGTGGAGGTGAATGTGATGCCTAATATTTTTAGTTGACCTAACTCATTTTAGCTAGATGGTTGTCCCTTTATGGGTTCCATGAGTTGTCTGAGTTAAACACCAACTTAGTTTTTTTATTCTTTAAAAAATCAGAATCTTATAAACGTAGAAACTGTTACAATATGCAAGGCAATATTATAGAATGATAACGAAATATAAATAACGGAGTAAGAATATTTAAACATGATAAGCATGAAAAATATAATAATGATTAAAAAATCAAATAAATTAATTAATTACTTGACTAGTTGATGTAAGTCAATGTAAGTTGATGTATGTAAGTTTTGTGATCAATAAGGGAAAAATTGTTTAAGGAGTAAGAATGTTTAAACATAGTAAGCATGGAATATAAAATAATGATTTGAAAAAACAAATAAATAGAATAATTTATTGATTGACTAGTTAATGATTTAGTAAGTAAGTTGAGTGTTCGTTAAAAAAAAAGAATTGACAAAATTGAACAAAAGACAAACATTTATTGAGCGTTAATATATTTAAGATGTCTTATGATGAAGGTCTTATCCTGGATTGAGTAACGACTTGATAGTTATATATTAGATCGTTTGACGATAGCTTAACACGTGCATACACTCATATATTTATAATGTGTTTTAGGTAACTTTTTAGATTGATAGAGCATTAAACATTTTATTGACTAATAAATAAATTTCAATAGTTTCAAATTTCAATGGTTTTTTAAATTTATCGAAAAGTGTTGTTTATTATCTAAGTTAATGAAACTCAGCTATCAACACAACTTTTATAACTACTAAGGTGTTACCAATTACGCCGTGTCAGGTAGTAACTATTATTTAAAAAAAACCTCAGTCGTTAGCAGCTTATATAAATATTGCTCCATGTTACGTTCCTAGAAACATTATTTAAAAAATTGTGCAACAAGTATTACACAAATTACGGGAATACAGCAAAAATCGAAAAATTGTTAAAATATGGACAAGGAACGACAGTAGAGACATCATTTCAACTAAGTAACCTGCTCGTTTGCTAATAAAATCAGATGCCGCTTTCATAATGATGTTTCTCCTATTATTTCATATTTTTCTTTGGGTTTTTTTAATATTGTTGTTAGTGTAAAGTTTAGTGTGGCTCACGCCGGTCTGAACTCAGCTCATGTAAGGATTCATAGGTTGATACATTGATACATTTTTTAATAACAATTTTTAATTATTTTGCTTATAAATTATCTATTTTGAGTTAATTATAACATAAATTAATTTTTTAATATGATAACAGACCCTTTTTGTGATGAACCACTATGCGGCCAGTATTGATGAAGATAACTTTCATGATCCCAACAAGTTTCTTCCCGAGAGGTGGTTGAGAGAAGGTGATGTCAGTCAGCAACAACATAAAGTACAACAACAAACTGACATCAAGAAACATCCGTTCGCCAGCCTTCCATTTGGATATGGCAGCAGAAGCTGCTTAGGTTAGTTCACTCCTTGTGCGGTAAATGTTGAAGGATGGAAGGATCGTGTTTATAACGAATGTTATGTTAATATTGACATACAATCTTAATATGAATGTATTTAATTGCTCTGAAGTATTTGTTTATTTTTCTAAAATTGTTCTTTCATCTGTTATTTGCTCTCTATCTGTATTTTATTATTCTTTATTTTAGTTATATTTATTTTTATAATTACTCAGTTTATTTATTTATTTTATCATTCATACTTTTATTATTTAGCGTTGCAGCAGCCTCTATTTTTAATTTAAACACTTGTTTCATTTATTAAAATTGAATAATTGGCAAATTTTAATTAACTACTCTTTAAATGTATTTTAGATGTCATAAACATATTTATTACTAAACTCATTTGTAAATTAGCTATATTTACTTGTTGCCAGTATACAAATCTAAACGAACAATCTTTTAAAGTTTGAAGATGCATTGAACTCACCTGTTAAACAATATTTTGCCGAAACCTTATTGTCAGTCACAATGTTTCACTACTCGATCTCGATCCCGATCTCGTTCACTTGCTAACCTACCAGTGATCTGCACATTATTCATTCAATTTCAACGATGGTTTTGCATTATGTGTTTTGCATTAAGTTACAATTTACTACCCAGACACGCTATTCTTATTTTATTGTAAACAATCATCAAATTTAAAAATTTTTCAAACACAAAGAATTAGGGATGTAAATTTGAACACTTGAATTTTAAAATACACTACTTGAAAAAGAATGATAACCAATTACAATTATTATTTCAACTTTTATATATTTCTGTTGCTCTTTTTCATTATTATATTATTAAGCCATTTTTCGACCAAGGTAAATGTCAACAAATTTTATTGTTCACCGAAAATTTCAACTTCACGCAAACACTGCACACATTTCAAGTGCACAAAAAAACTGACCCACAAAGGTTAGAAAATTGACGAAATGGATTGTGTTTGTTCCACTGATTGGTTTATTTGAAAAGCTAAAGCATGCCAGTTAAACTGAATCATTCAGATTTTTAACGTATCAGTTCCGCAAAAAGATTATAAAAGTTTGCTGAAATGATTATTTACCGTAAAATGGAAGTAAAATTTATTCAAATTAACGCTGGTTCAATTAATATGTTGACCAGTTCGACCAGCAGACGACATGTATGCTGCGTACGGCACTGTTATTAATATTGCGCGTTAGCCTGGTTTCTAATCTCTCTGTGCACAATTCAATGATCTTGACACACAACACACACTCACACATGTAGTGTGTGTGTGGGTGTTTGTGTATAATGTATTTCCTCCATGTGAGTATACTAATTTTGTGGCATAAAAGGCATCTTCCAGCTAAGATACTATGCTATCAATAAATGCAAGCAAAAATAAGAACTAATTATATCAAAGAAATGAAACATTGTATCGACGATGTCAATGAAATTAAAAATCTGTTACTTTTATGAAAATTATGTCATTGACACTACAAATTTAAACTCCAAGTTTCAAAAGATTAATTTTTTTTTAAATTTGATGGCACATTGATATGAAGCAATTAAGCTTGAAGTTTATAAAATAGAAAAATCTTAAAAAAGAAAAAATTGTGTTTACAAACGAATAACAAAAAGAATCTCTGTCTGGTCTAATGCACCATATTTGAAAGATTAAAAAAGGTCACTTATTAGTTACCGCATGCATAACCATTATCTACCGTTCTCATCGCCATAACTAATATATATTTCTATATTTTTCATCTACTTTTATTTCCTTGAAGACGTTTTTATTCTTTCTCTTTTTTTAATCATACAAAAGTTTATAACACTCGGATATCAAACAAAATTTTAAATAGCATTCCTGGTTTTTTGACCTTTATTTAATGCTGCGAATGCATATTGGTTTTTATAAATCTTTACACATAAACGCGAAATAAACTTGAAAAACTCATTAATTTAATATTATTTAAAATTATTTATTTTCATCTGAATTTAAACAAAGTAATCGCGATTGTTTTGTTACCAGTTAGCACGGCACTTTAATCGTTCAGACAAAAAATCTTTAACAACACCACATTGGCAGCATAATTATAAAAACACGATTTCATTTTTAAGGCAATATTTTTTTTAATAAATTTTCATTTTTTATGTTTATTGCCATAATTTTTATATATAATTTTAAACCCCTAGGATGAAAGAATTATTTCTAATTAATTTTTATTGATGTAAACAATTTTCTAATTTAAATTCAAATTGTGTAAACACTTGTATTAGACAATTGTATAAACACACAAAAGTCTCACGCATATGTTACAGCGATTTTTTTTTGTATGCCACACTGTGATGTGGAGAGTTATATCGTTCATATGAGAACTACTCGCTTTCAACGACTCACTGCGCATATAGAGGACGGCGCCATCAAGCATCACAAGTAGCAAGTATATCAGCAGCCTCTTACGTGAAACTATGCTCCATCCGAACTCAACGTATCTCGTTTCTGAACCAATTTAGCTCGTCTCATAATTAAAAGGGCTTTTCATATCGACAAAAATAAATCTTCATTCAATAAACAATTTAATAGCTTTGATCTCAATACCGTGATGTGACACCGACGCTGATGGGGTACATCCACATATTCACCGCGTACAACAACAACGATACGAATTTCGTTTGACGTTGGATGCATTTCAAGCACTCCATACGCTGTTTTAAAACTATTAGCTCGACTTGTTATTTCACCATCATTTTTTCAATTATATTTTGATAGTAATAACGAGAAAAAGTTAACAGTTGTGATAAGCAAAGTGATAAAGAAATGATAATTTATAATTTCATGTTTCTGTCGACAGTAAAGTTCACAAATATTGTTATGGTAACCAAAATGATGAAGATAACGGTGTTATTGGTGAATATGATGTGATGAGATGATGGCGGGTATTCGCGATGAGAATGATTTGTGATAAGAATGATGATGATTTGAAAAGATGAAGATGGAGGTGATTGAAATATATCAAAAACATGATATTTAAACCTTTATTGATATCTTAAGTTCGACTACTTGAGAAATAATAACGTTGTTGATATAATAATATTTTCGGTTTATAAAAACAATAACTGGATAACAGAATATGCGATACCTGATACTTGTCGAGTGCATTTTGTCGAGTGCATTTATAAATGCATTTTGTTTATAAAATTACAAAGTACACATTACAGTTTCCCTAAACAAAATAAGTTTGCGTGGTAAATATGACGCAAGATTCATGAAATTGCACAATTATCATGCATTTTTAATGAATTCAAAAATATTAACAGTTTGGTTTATTGCTATCATTGAGTTGTAGGTCCTTTATAGATGCAAGTATAAAAAGCGTATTTCAGATGTTTACAAAATTTAATTTGAATGCAACTATTTTTACTTTTTTACTTAAGCAAAGTGGTTATCTGCAAGTGAATAAAAATTAGAGTAATTTATCTTGTAATAATGGTAAAATAATATGACTAGACTTATTATATCATTGCTATAATCTAAATTCCTTTTATTTTTATTCTAATTATCTTAAGATATAATGTTATTAGAATTTATAATTTCATGTTTTTGTCGACAGTAAAGTTAACAAAGTCACTAATTACAATGAATACTAATCACAAGAACAAAGGCCTGGGTTATACAAATTCCCAATATAAACTGCAACAGGGTTATACAAATTCTCTATATAAACTGCAACAAGTGCTGAAGATGATTGTAAAATCGAAATAGGTCCTATACAA